CACAACTATATTATATTATATTTAATTATATTATAATGATAAATATAATAATAATAATAATTAATTAATTACAATATGACTATTATATTGTATATTATATTAATAATAAATATAATTACAATGTATAATACATAAGATATTATTATAATATTAAATATGATATATTATATTATGTAATATAAGATATAATTACATTACAATATAAATTATTATAATATAGTATTAATTATATTATAATATTTATAATTATAATATTTAAGGGTAATGATGGAAAAGAAAATTAAAAGAATTTAGTATGGACATTCCTCTCATATGAGAAATGAATGATAATTTACTCATTTGATGGAAAAGTCATTCCATTTTGAATGACCATTTCTTTTTCTAAAACAACCAAACATAAAAATGAACCTTGATTCCTTTCCATTCGTTTCCATTTCCCCCAATCAAATACACCCTTAAATAAATGTGAAGTTAAACATTTTTGTGATTTTGTTTTACATACGAGGAAATGAAAAGAGTGCTTATTATGTAAAATGGAAACATATGAATTACACTCTTTGGTTGAGAAAAAAGGAAAGCAAATTATGACCACCATTAATTCCTGGTTTCAAGTGTTGCCGCTTTATTAGCTGTAAATTTCATATGCTCAAATTTTCATTGATGATGATTGTTACGTCAGGTTTTACGTTTGGTGTTCCAGATAATGTTAGCACATTATCTGGAACACGGCTTAATTAATTAAGATCCGGGTTAATTACATTCAGTTGCTTAATTGTTAGGTATTTTTATTAGTTGACAATTTATTGACAGTCTTGTAAAAATTCAAAAAATAGGTTCAAGAAGATTTCGTGTTGCAGAAAAAGATTCAGAATCAGATTTAGAGATAAGGAAGATAAGGCATTGGTGATTTGAATTTAAATGAAATTCTAGAAAGGAATAAGGATAAAAAGATTATGTGGCGAATTTGAACTCATGATTATATAGATTTGGGAAGGCTATAAACGTTGAAGAGAAGAAGATATAGTTTTGATATTTACAACTTATCCAACTCGTGGGAATTGTAGTTGGCATTAATTCAGATTTGTTGAATTTGCTGTACAATCCGAATTGGAAATTGAAAAGTGTTATTGGAGATCATATGGAAGATGAACATTGGAGCTACGTGTTATACAAGGTAATGTGCAATCCGTTTGATATTTGAACTTTAAAAGCAAGATATATATATATATATATATATATATATATAGTAATATATACATGACGGTGTTGTGTTTTAAAAGTGAAATAATTAGTTTGGTCATTTGAGATGTGGATGTGATGAATTCCATGTGGTTTAGATAAGAGGAAGTTCTCCGTGTTTAATGAAGAACACGTGGAGATCAAGTGTTAACTTGTAACAAGGATAACTAATTCGGATTTGAAAGTTTGCTGCATAATTCGAATTGGAGATTGAAAAGATAACGTGAAGATATTTTAGAGCCTATCTAGGGGAGAGAATCATGGAGATCGTATCGAAAGTGAATTTGAATGAGATTCTCTTGATTTTATTTAAAAGCTTTGTTTTAGAGTATATGTGATACGGATTTAATAGAACATCTCCAGAGAAAAAGTATGTGAATTTGAGAGCTTATTACAAAGTAAATATTCAGAGAAACGTCTGTGAGTTTTTGGGATCGTCCTTCGGGAGAGGGATTTGTTGCTTGCGGGAGGAAGCTTTGCCAGTCGAAGGGAGTTTACCGGGTGAATAGAAGACGTGTGGTGCACAGTAAACAATTATTGTAGAGATTTGTCACGGCGGCGTCATTGTCTAAGAGGGAGTCCTTGAGTGAATAAGTTCATTTGGTGTCTGTAATTTCTGAAACACAGTGAACTGTTTACTATCTGGACGTGGCCCCGTAAATGTATATGTGTGCACTGAACTGCGATATCATTTTGTGTGTTTTTATTTTCTGCACTTTATTCTGTTCGGGCAACTGAACGTAATTAATCCGGATCGTAATTAATTAAGTCGTGTTCCAAACAGTATTTCAACATCATCTGGAACACCAGACGTAAATCAGATCTAACAATGATGAAAATGTCACTCCCATGTTCCTTAAAAGGAGGTAATCTTAGTACAACTTTTCATTTCACCATTGAATTGAATCATTGAATTGCACGTTAATGCATAGTATTAAAAAAGATAAATAAATATTGTATGTACCATATTTTAGTGTCATTTTTGCCCTTTTCTTCTCACCACAAGAGGTAAGAGTATCTCACAAAGATGTCGGCAGATTTTCTACAAACTTATGCAATCTGACCCCTCTATCACTCGTTAGAAGTGTTTCCCACATTCCCATTTTTTATGGTCCTTTGTAACCATTATTCCAAATCAATTTTGATTCACAACTTTCTCTTGATGCAAATCTAAGCCACATAATCAAAAACCAGATATTTCTCAAATTGTTGTAACTAAAGTCTAAAGCATCTCTCTCTCTCTCTCTCTCTCTCTCTCTAGATACTTAGTACTTGTTGTTGAAAGAGGAGACACAACTGGTAGTGAAAATCCTCTTGTGGCGTTCCTTGATTCACGTATTTTGGCACCTCCTAATTTGTGTACTTTTTTTACCTTTCTTTTGCCGCTACCTCTCACAACCTTCTCCTAAGGGAAAGTACCAATTATTATGGTCACATTTACTTTGTTTTCATAATTACAGTTTAGTGTTCTTTACTTTATGAGAAAGATCAAACTTTCATCAATTGTTCCAAATCACTGTGGGTGTTGCTTCATCAATAGATGTGACTGTGACTCATTCTGTTTTTCCACAATACTTTTATGCTCTTAAAAGTAGCCCAAAAAATATGTGTTTGCAAATGAACAAACGGCTCAACCTATTATTAGAGTTATGTTCTGCGTGAGCTAATCACTTTTAGTTATGTGTGGCAGGACCATTTGTCATGAAAACTTTCATTCAAGTTTTAGTTCAACACCACCATATGTCTAGATTATTAATTTTTTGCAACGTGAAAATTTTCTATTAGTCATATTCTCATTCATTAGTCTGTTGTTAAATCACCTTACATTACCATTTTCAGAAGCATGTTCCTTAAAATAAAAATAAAAAATAAAAAAAAGGAGACCAGAAACTATTATGGTTGCAGCGTTGGGGTTACAGTGGCATCAATCAAGTGCTTATTTTTTTTGGAAGGCATTATAATTTCTGAACATGTTTTTTTTCAATGATCTGCTTTTGTAGTGACACCTTTAATATTATTTATTTATTGGAAATGAAGTGTAATTTTTTTAGCACATTCCATGCTAAGAGATCAATATTATGAAGTTGTGGAATAATAGCTATGTTCTTATATTTTCTTTTTATGTCATCATGAATCTTCCAAAAATAAAATGAAGTATAAAACAATTTTCTTTTTTATTTTTTTTTTCTTTCCATGAATCATACTCAGAGTTCCTTCCATCTCTGTTTTACCAAGGGAATGAGAATTCCTATTCCTTTCATTTTCATTTCCCACAAAAAAGGTACTTAGAAACCTTCAGAATTTCACAAACTCTCATTATATTCAAGACCCCAAATACACAGATTCCCATTCTCTATCATTTGACTATCAACACAAAATACAATTTTAATCACGTTAGGGACCTTGAGAAGACCAAAGAAAAGATAAGGGAAAAAGAGAAAAAAAAAAAAAAAAAAAAAAAAAAAAAAACAAAAAAGAGTCTCAAAGAAAGAGGAACGGCCTCTTTAGCGTTCTTGAGCAATTTGTTGTGTCCAATGATTGACATTGGCTTCCCTCCGAGGAACTAACAAGAGTCGGAAGCACAACCTCCATTGAAACTCCAATGAGGTATCTCTGCGTGAGCTTTTGGCATGTGTTGCATAGGAAGCACCTAACATGCCTGCGGGCTAAGAAGTTAGCCCCATGAACCCATTGGTCACATTTCCTACACAAATACGCGTCGTCCGCTTGGCAATACAACGAGGCCCGCGAGCTGCACAGCTCGCAGGCAATCACCGCACATGTGACAGTACTAGCATTAGGCCGCCGCGGGGCGGCTTCCTTGGGAATAGGAAGTTTGCAGAACCCGCCTTGGTAGTTGCTCTCTTCCACACCTCTACACATTTTTTTTTTCCTCTTGAGGGGTAACAAAGCTTAATGTGTTATGGCCAAGAAGTTGGAAGGACAAGGGCAATTTATAAGAAGATTGGAATGGGGATAGGAGAGAGGGGTAGGTCACATATATAGTTGGAGGTGATGTGATGAATTCCGTCCTAGAATTTCACCATTATGACAACCATGCCACTACGTGACAATCGAGTGTCATTGTCTTTCTTTTCTTCAATTTTCATCTATCCTCTTATCTTTTTTTGGATCTGTGGTTGCTAAAATACTTGAAAGACTGTTGCAAACTTTTGAACGAAACGGGATTTTGACATGATTAGTAGTGAGAAAGAGGGGGGCTAATAAAGTAATTCTCTCACAAAAGGGAGAATTTTTACACCGCTAATTTTGACGAAACATGAAACGAGAAAGCATGGTTATAAGCTATTATAAACTTTGTTAAGCTTTATGAGATGCTTGAAGGGACGGGTGGCATAGGACATGATATTTTGTTGTTGAGTGGTTACCAAGTCAATTTTATAGATTACCAAAGAAGAAACTCGTGTTGTATGGCCAAGAATTAAAGTCCCTCAAAATGTAGGGGCCACCAAGTCCATTGGGTTCTTTGCACGTAGGACAAGTTGAGTTATAGAAAACTTGGAAACTGATTTGACCCATTTGTGTGTTTTCTTGTTCCTATTACGCTCCTTCTATACGCAATTCATTTCTTTTTTGGACCCAAAAAAGAAAAAGAAAAAGAAAAATGGACGGTTGGGCCATTGGTGAGCCAGGAAGTAGAAGAGATGTCATTGTCCACAAATTGATCTAGCGGTGGACATATTAGTCCACATGTATGGTTGAAACTTGAAAGCTTCTCGGAGCTCTTATGTGCCATGATTGCCATTCGATCTGAGTTTGTGACCCACAAATATTTAGAAATTAGAATACTCAAAAGCAATGGACAAAATAGGTGCTACTTTAGGTTTTTATTTTTCCTTCAAAATAGGGTGACCAACTGATGAATCCAAACCACTTGTTTAATAGATACGCAGAGTGGCCAGTAGCTAGACCCAGATGAGAATTTAAGCCACCAAATTCATTCAATTCAAAGGGCATTTACAATAAAGAAAAACAACAGTGCCTACAGATATAGCGAAATAGACATAGCCTTCTCTAATAAAAAAAAAATAAAAAAAAATAAAAAAAAAACTGATGGGATACGTCCTCTACCACAGTTCTGATGCTTGGAATGTATGGCTTAGGAAAGAGGCTATTTAATTTTGCCTATTTGATAGATATGAGAACGTGTGACAATGGGTGGGTTTAAAACTCATTCTAAAATAATTTTATTTTTTGTATTAAAATAGAAATGAAAATATTTTTAATCTTAGATAGAGATCATTTTTAAAATAATGTTTGGTAGTTTTATTAAGAGATTATTTTCAGTATAAAAAATCTATTAATGTCTCTCTCTATGCTCGAGATAGGAGAAAACGAAAACAAAAAATAAAAAACGACTAAAAGTCGTTTTTCATTTCTCTCTCATTTTACACTAAATTAAAAAATCGTTTTTATTTTTATTTTTTATTTTTAATTGTGTCAAACGCCGTTTCTTTCTCGTTTTTATTTTTAATTTCTCAAAAAATATAAAAAATAAAAACAAAACTAATTTCAAACACCGACAATGTTTCTCACTGACTGTGTATTGCGATTATCATATTCTTTCTTAAAAAAAAATGATAATTATAAGGATAAAGTGATTCTCTCAAAGATACTCAACCGTGCTCGTTTCTAAATGTCACGTCAAATTATCTCTAATAATGTAGTTAAAATCTTTTTTGTTTGTTTTGTTTCTTTCTTAAGAGTACTATGGTTGATATCTAAATTATCAACGATTTCTCTTATAACACGAGTGTGATAGCCTAACAGTAAAAATTTATTGTATTTGGGTTTGTGATGATGACAGGTCTTTTTGAATTATTAAGGGTTCATTTAATTCGTTAATTTAAATTTTTAATTTGAATTGAGATGTGACTTTATGTGAGAGTTTTTTATCGTAATAAAAAGTTAAATGTGACTATTTTTTAGAGTTTTTTACTGTAACGAAACTCGACTTTTAAACTCGAATCAGTGAATAAATGAAAAGTTTGGTTCCATTTTAAATTTTCAAAGAGTTAAAATGTCAATCATCCTTTTCTAAACTTTTTTTTCGTAAATAATACAAAAAGAAAAAAAGGAAAAAACTACTTGTTTTATAATTTCTCTTCTTAGCATTGTTGTATGGTTTGGTCATATGCTAGTGTTAGAATTTATAAATTGACATCAATTTCCTTGTTCCTCTGTGGAAAATATAACTCACACGGGAGAATTTTCCCAAATTTGACGTCAAACCCGCAACCGGTGGATTGCTTGGTTCTAATTTCTAGCAAGGAAGATTCTTAGCGTGTGAAACGAAATTAGGTATTCTCCAACAAGTGGCTTAACTTTGGTCTTGGACGAGTTTTTATCATTTGAAAAATGTGGTTCCCCGGTACTAACTTGTATGGTTCCTAGAGAAGATATTTAAAAGGTTTGTTGAAAATGACTTGTTTCTTTCGTGTTGGTCCGGCTAGAATTTGCTACGAAATGTCCAAGAGATATCTTAAGTTGTAATCGAGTGGTATTAAGAGTCCGTTTGGTTTATAAATTATAGCCATGATATTAGAATCATTTTTTATTTACGTGTATTTTTTGTGAAAGAAAATACTGTAGCGAACCATGAACCATGATTTGAATCAGAGAACGAATCATCCAACCAAACGGGCTCTAAGATTACTTTCAAGTAGTTTGTAAGTAGAAAGTTTTAGATTGGATTTTATAAAAAGCGCTTGAGACTATTTTTAAACTACCAGCTCAATTTATTAACGGTTGATGTGGTTGAGGTGACGCGCTTTATTTCTTAATACAAATAGTTATTCAACGTATGGGAGTTGATCTTTTGATCACGCTTAGAGAATAACTACAACATGTTGCCCCTCCTCGGTCCTTATACCTTTCTCATTTTAAAAGTACAACAAAGATAGACCGCGTTATCAATTCCATTACATTAGAGTTGTATAAGATGAGAGTCAGAAGAACTAGAACTCACATTCGTTAAATACTTCTTTCTAGTGCAAGGAACTAGATGAGTATGAAACACGCAATAAAATTATGTGGATTGGTGGAGGGCTAGGTTAGTCCGCTAAATGCCTTATAGCTTTGGGGTGGAGGAGGGTAAGATCCTGTTTATTTCACCGATTTGAGTTTTATTACAGTAAAAAATTTTTAAAAACAGTCACATCTAATTTTTTTACTACAGTAAAAAATTCTTACATAAAGTCACAACTCAACTTAAATTAAAAACTCAAATTAACGAACTAAATAGATCCTGATACTAGAAAAGCTCCGTATCAAAGTTACGGTCAACAGTCGTTCTTGAATGGATGAAAAAAAGTATTCACTTCTTTCTCTTTTTTAATTAATAGTGTCAGCAACCACAACTTCAATCATAATTTTAAAACCAACTAATGTAATGAGAAGCTATCATTTTTTAAAACAATAAATACAACTTTTTATATTAATTGACACTGTAATTTTTTAAATACCTCCCACCAGAAAATAATAATATATTGGCATTATACAATTAGGATTAACGTTGAAATCTTCATTTATTTTTTTAATCAGAATTTATTGTCGTTCTTTATGTACACACAGACAACATGCCGCTTGTAGAAGAAAAAGAAAAGCATTTTCTGAATATAAACGACATGTTGATTCCTAAAAAGAAAGACAACAAACTAAACGACATATCGTGTAATAGATTAAAAGAAAAATCTTCTCAACACATTCGGCACGTCGTTTCCGAAAGACAACAGCTGAAAAGCAGTCGGCATATATTTACGGACACCAATTAAGGATTAATTACAAAAATTTATCCCGAATTATACTTTTTATAACACTTTGTCTCATGTAACATTCGTTTTCTCTAAATAATGAAATGTTAACAAAAAAAAAACCCCTCTATTAAGGTTTTTTAACAAAAATTGACATTTAATTTATTATTTTGTGATATTTTGATAGCTTTATGATTTTAAATTTAGTTAGAATTTAAAACTAATTTAATTTTAAGCTTTTAATTATAATACATCCATTATTGATTGAATGTAAGTTAAAAGTTTTATGAATCTTTTTTTTTGTAGAATAAAAAACTTTATGAATTTTTTTAATATTTAAATTAATTGAAGTTCAAATTAAAATTTTAAACCATAGAATTATTAAAATACCCTTAAAATAGCAAATTGAATGTCAATTTCAGTTAAAAACTTAATTGAGAGAGCTTTTTTGTAAACATTTCATTGTTCAGGGGGAATAAATGTTACGTTTTAAAGATTAGATAATAAAATGTTATAAGAGGTATAATTCAGAAGAAATTTTTATAATTAATCTAATAATTAATTAACTAATAAGATGTCGTTTCACTTCTGAAACGACAGGAATAGAATGAATGAAATATAAAAACGACATGTAGTTTCTTGGGGCCCGTTTAGTTCATTGATTCGAGTTTTTAATTCGAGTTCAGATGTGATTTTATGTGAGGGCTTTTTACTGTAGTAAAAAAGTTAGATGTGATTGCTTGTGAGAGCTTTTTACTGTAGCAAAATTTGAATTCTAAACTCGAATCAGCGAAATGAACGGGGCCTTGATATATTACAATTTTTTTGAGTCATAAATAAAACTTGTAGAGTACGTATGCAATGTCCTTTATTATTATTATTAGACGTGAACAGTTTTTGACAAACCTAAATTCATTCTCAAAGTTAAACAACCGCATCATAAACGTAAAGACTCATATTTATTGTTTCTAAGATTATCAACAACTCGGCATCTTTGAGATGTTATTTATGGGTAGATGAAAACGTTCATCGTGAACGGATACTATTAAGGTCAAATTTCGTTTAATAAATAAATCCATTGTGATCACCTCACCATGAATTAACTCACCC